CTCGATCCCTCTCACGAAGAAATGCGAGTTGGAATCTGCTCTGAGATGTTATTCTCACAGAAAAACTTGGACCACATCCTGATGGCCAGGCTAGCAAGGAGCGTAAGTACACACCAACCCTGCAGAGGGTCAAATACAGAACCCCTGACCCAAAGCTCCCACTTCAGAAATTCCTCTTGTAGATAATTATACGAAATTAATTTCTAGGGGATGATGATTCAAAGGACTGTTAGTGATGAAGGTTTGAAATAACACCAATGCCCACTAATAGTTTTTTGTAAATATCTATTTATATGTAAGTATTGATTTGTAAATAAGCATTTATTAAAATAATATGTACAATATTTGAAGTATTTATATCTATGTATTATATTGATACTATATAAAATATACTATGTGATATATAAATATAAGAATATAAAAATATGTTCATAACATTTTTATATTTGTTAAAATAATATTTCTAAAATATAAATGTATTAAAATTATAAATTAGTTTAATGATAATAAATGCAAGAATAATAAATGTATAAATAATGAATATTTATCAAAAACCCTACTTGTGGGCAACTGATCGCATTCATGGACATTCCTGCCCGAGCTGGCTTCCAGCTGGGACCCTTGGCTCTCAGCCTACTGATTGGCTACGGGTGCCCTGGACCAGGGTCACAGCTTTTCTGGGGAGGATCAAGGGAGGAGTTAAGGCTCAGCAACTGCCAACTTGTAAGGCTGCGGGAGTGAGCCCCTGCCTGCGCCCCCGCAGGACACTGCGGCCCCCAAGAGGGGAAAGCCCCGAACCCCCCCCCGGGGGCCCCCAGGCCTCCTCCCCGCTCCGCGGACCCACCTGGCCGGCTCGGCGCGGGGCGGTGGGGGGCCCGGGCCAGGGAGGTGATGGTAGAGTCGGGCCTCCCGCGCGGGGTTCTGGCCGAGCCCCTGGAACATGGAGCTGAGGCCGGCGACCGTGCCCTCCTGGATGGCCCGCAGGGAGTGGCGCCGGGACTCGTCGCGCGCACGCTGCGCCCCGCGGCTCCGCTCCTCGTCGGCTGCCTTGGACCTGCGCACTGCAAGGAAGAAGGGGAGCGTTGGCCTCGGTCCATGGCCCTCCGGGGATGGGGGGGGGGACGCACCTGCGAGGACCCCTCGGGTCAGCGGCTCCCGGCTGCAGGGAGCACCAAGCCCCAGCTCCAGTGACCCGCGCGCCCAGGCCCAGGAGTGTGGTGAAGAAGTGAGGGGAAGAAGAGGGGGTCTTTGGACAATGAACACTCTGCAGGTTGGAGACTCGAGATGCCTTTTTCTCTGGCCTTCTGCATTTTGTATTCCTCAAGAATACAACATGTCACCGCCGAATGGCCTTGAAAATACCGTGTGTGAGCTGGGGGCCTGTCATTCTGGCTGAGAGGGGCTGAGATCTGAGGATTGAGAGTCAAAGCCAGCCCAGGCCGAAAGGTCTGTTAGACTCTTGTCTCTGATCAACCAGCAAAAAGCCGAAAATTGCAAGTGTGATTTAAGTGGTGGAGCACCAGCCTGGACTGGAAAAAGCCAAGCAGGAACTCAAGCCCTAATACCAGCACACACACACACATACACACACACACACTAGTATCAGAGTTCATAATCTGTAAGGAGCCAGAGCAGGAGAATTTCCCTAGATCTATGTTGGGGGGTGGATGTGTTTTTCCCCACTCCAAACTCATGCTGAAACTTGCTTTAATATGGTAGAGTTGGGGGTGGGGCAGGGAGCATGATTGAGAAGGTGGGGTGTGAGACTGGATTTCATGGAATGAATTCATTCTTGCAGAGCCGGTGGTTAAAATCAGGTTGGCTCCTCTGTGCTCACTCTCTCTCCTCTTGCCCTTGGACTTCCAAGAACCCTGAGACAAAATGAACCTGTTTCCTTTTTCAATGAGCAGCCAAAGGGGTTCTGCACAACAGCAGAAAAGGAACCAAGACAGTCGGCAGAGATCGAGAGGAGACTTTTCTCAAGAACAAAAAGAAGCAGAAGGCCATTCCAAGCAGGAAAGCTGGGCTCTGGGGACCCACTGACTTTCAGATACCAAGAAACCCACAAAATCTGCCAGACATTGTGTGAGAAACTCAGACTGGGTCAGCATGCCCCATACCAGGCTTTGCAGTGACTCCATTACAAGTTGCTCTAAAACCCCAAGGCCAGTAACCCTGAGGACTTTACCGTCCCCAGGGGACAGCAAGATGGTGACAGGCAGATAGGGATTTATGCCCTTGACTCCTTCTCTGGCATTGGGCAAGTTTTCATCTCTCTGGGTCTTAGTTTTCCCAATCCTGAGAAGTAGAGACATTGCTACCCAAGGGCTGCTGGATAAAGTATCTAGAATCCCATTCTTATCCCTCCTCCTCAGCTCTTTCAATACTGAAGACACATAATAGTGAGCTTTCTCTCTGTGTCTGTCTCTGTCTCTCTGTCTGTCTGTCTGTCTGTCTGTCTGTCTCTCTCTCTCTCTCTCTCTCTCTCTCTCTCTCTCTG